AATTACCAAAAAATATCTGAAAGCTTGATCAAAAAATCAAGTAATGATAGTTAGCAGCAAACTGAAAGCTCGGTTTTGCGAAGTGGCAACAACAGTTCCTCTAGTTCCTCCGAAGCCATACTTCTGTATAAGCAAACACACATCAAGTCTAGGTTTGTTCGCACCAAATTTGGTGCTCGCAATTAGCTTTTAGAAGAGTTCTAATTGTTAAGTAGTGGAGCATAATTATTGCCGCGTGCAGAGCCATTACACAGATCAATCTTCGCGGTGAGGTAGCCGTAGGAATTGGAAGTCCGCCTTCCGGACCAAAATTTTATAAAGGATGGTTTAGAAATTTGTGTCCTTTCAAATTTTGGTTTTGCCTTAATTTGTCTAATAAATAGGGAGCCGTCATTAGACTTTTGAATGACCACCATTAAAGAGAGAGAGAGAGGTTAGAGTAGATACTTGTGGAATAGTGAATTATTGCAGAAGCGGAAGAGACATAGTTTTACATTGAGGTGAACTTTTATAAATATTGTGTCTTTATTTCTTTTTGCTAATCGATTGCTCTCAGTGGAATAATTTCTAATTCTCAACAACAATTAAATCAGAAAAAGGTTTTCCAAATTTCTTATTTTGAAAACTTATCCAGCAATACTATCACAACTAAGTTTATCGCTACAATGCTATCGATCCTACTTCACACAATCTCCATGTTATCAAGCTGGTGACAATATCCTCTTGAGCAGTAAAAGATGGTATGCTATACAATCAAAAATATCTCCCCATAACATGATGGAATTTAAATATTACCCTTCTCCTACGCATATGTAAGAATAATGATAGGCACTCCCAGCTGATGGACAACGACTCGCCAACTCAGCATAGCAGAAGGCAGAAAGAGCAGCTGCTATACCAGCTATTAGAAAGGAAAAAGTAAGGGCTGGTCCTGAATGCTCCCTAGCGACTGTGCCAACAAGAATATAAACTCCAGCACCAATAGTGGAACCAACTCCTACAAAATTCAGCCAATCAACTTTTTAACCATAATTTTGTTTATAGCACACGTTCAATACATAAAAAGGCATTCTCAAGTTACTGGCAGACCTTTAAAACCCAATAAATAGTCTATAAGGCCCATTTTTTCAATTTAAAACATATATGAAATACAGAAATAAAGGCAAATACAAAACAGGAATGAAATGGATGAAGGATTCAAAAGGATCATGAAAATTTAATCAAGAAACTGAAGGCATAATTAAACATCTTAGAAGGGTACAGTTGTGAAAGCAACAAAGCAAAAAATCCGTATAAAAATCTAAATATTGAACAACAGAGAATTTAAGAACATTAACAAATTTATACCTATGGCAATAAGATGAGGCACAGTTAAAGCCTTGGCCAATTGATGATGACCACTCCCTGAGGCAGATTGTGACTTAGAATGAGCAGAATCCACCTGTTTTCTCCTCACGAGACTCCTCAAACCTCCAACACCACCATCACTTTTCTGTGCATCACAAAGAAAACCCATACCCCACAAAATAAATCGCAATTGAGTGTTCAAAGATCACAACTTTGAGGGTATATGCAGATATATCTCCTCAATAAATTTAACCCAACGAATAATTAAATATGAGCAAGAAAATCTTGGACAGAGATCATGAAATGGTGACGGGCTGCTGCTTGATGATGCAATCCCAAAGGCAAGAAATTAGAGCCTTCTGGTTGGTGGATTGGTGGTGGGTTAGGGGTGGAGATTCAGCTGGCGTTATAATCCAGAGAGAACAAGAGAGCGATTTAAACACTGGCTCTATATATTTTTGTTGTTCTCAATAAGAGAGAGGCAGCGTTCGGCTGAAACAATGGATCATTCATTTATTGTCAATTATTTATTTTATAGCCTGCATCTCGCGGAAGCGCGTGCCAGGCCATACTGGTTTTCTATCCATATTTATTGGTACTTGATTTTCGTCATCTTAGTTTATTTTTCTAATTATATGCACTATCGTACATAATTATACCACCAAGGGTCCACGATTTCGATTTCAAAATTTATTATTCCTCTCGGCATTCTCACTAACACGTTTATAACATTTCGACACGGATGTCCTTCTGAGCAAATGAGAGGACGTTAACACATCTTTTACCCTTAAACGCACTACACCTTGACCCCTACTAGTTTAATAAGAGGAAAAATTCATCTGTACAATTATTAAAAGATTGTAAAAATTATAACATCTCACATTAGTGTGGAGCCCGTTAATTAATTAATTAGCGGGTGAAATTAGCGGGATCCACACTAATGCTAAGAGATTGTAAATTTTACAATTTCTTAGGGGTCGTTCTCTTTGTATTTCAATTTTGTGTTTTGAATTTTGAATTTGTTTTGTGTTTTGTGTTTTGAGTATCTGTTTCGAAATTTCTGAAAATGCATTCTCTTTATCATTCTGAAAAACTGTTTTCGAAAACAAAAAAATGGAAAACGCGTTTACTTTGAAATTTTAAGAATTTTTTAAGAATATTTTATTTAAAAAAATGAGTAT